AGTGGTTAACGTGTTAAGGGCAAACACTGCCCTGTCATGGCTCAAGACCCTTTGGGGAAGCTGATAAGACCTAGGCGAAGTTGAAACTGCAGGCCATTCCTACTTTAATGAGAATACCTTTTAGAAAAGCAAGGCTATGTGAAATTCAATGGAAACAAAAAGTCTATGCATAGCAGTAGAAAAATTTAGTTACAAGTCCCCTTATCAACCTTAGACGAAATAGACCCAATTTATCTCGAAAACCGACTTATGAACGGAGAATTAATAATGAAATGTATTCGCTCTTAAACGAGAATCTCTGAAAATCTAGATAATGCTTTTATTGTACTTGAATATCAGGCTAAAAAACTCACCTTACCCCTGGGTGAGAGGGTGGTAGCTGGGTAAAGAAAGATTCCGCCATAGACCAGAGTCCTGTGAACATCCGCTACCATAGAGCCGATGTACCTGGCAGCATATGGCTTACCTGACTGGATTGGGCAGAGTAAAGGAAGATCAAATATACAAACATCAACTTTTAAGAAAGAAGTGAAAACAACAGTACATAATTAACCTTATAGGAATTAAGTATGACCGAGGTGATTTCTTTAAGTGATAAGTAAAACTAGTTGATTTCCCCCCAAAAAAATCTTAGGATTTTGTTATCAACTATAAAGCCATATAGTTATACGGTTGAACCCTACCTATTAGACTAAAAGTGGGTTCATGGGCGTTTAGGCTGCTTGCAAAGCAATGATAAAGTATTAATTATTCGTAGTATGGTAAGAACAAAGGATTTAAGTATGCTACAAAAAATTAATATAGTACTCGTCAATTTAAATGACATCAGCAAAACCTAATGGGAAATTGAGATTTATTTATTCATCAAGATCTGCAACACAACTTAAGTGCGTCAAGTTCAGATGTTGGCTATGGCAGGATCAGAAAAAATATCGTTAATATATAGTTATCTTATGTTCACCAAATTAGCATACAATTAATTTGGTACCATCACTAATAATTCCTAAAAATGTCAATTAAAAGGCGATCAAATAACAGTAAATTTAAATAAACTCGCTACATTCATTCTCAGTCACTTCACTGAATATCCAACGCTTAGACTTAAAAGCCATTCCAGGTTTTAGAATGAACTTGGAGGCCCTTGATTAAATAAGTGTCGTGACGCTTACCGTGGAGTTTCATTGACAAATGCCAGAGGAAGAAGATGCAAGAAGATGTTAATAGAAGTGACGAGATCGTTTAGAACGAGTCGTTTCTTACTAATATATATATATATATATATATATATT